TTGAGCATGTACTAATTAATACTTGATAAGGGCCATACGAATCACATGATGACAATATGCACATAATCATCTGGGGCATAATTAGAGCATAGACTGCTCGAACCGGTAACTAGAGCATCCACACCACAACATAGGGTTGTACTCAGGAACAAAGAACAGCACTGTGATACCACGCTGCATTCTTGCTCACGCGAAGGACATCATTATTGCCTACAACTACGGCGTACGTAGAGTCAATTGTAGGGTTTCTCCTTCCTTCTGCCAGTCAGTGACCAAGTGTCCATGTAGCCGAAGATCGAGTCCCGCTAGACCGTCTCGTCTTGCTGCTCGTGCTGTGCGGGATATGGACGGCACGCGTTAAATTTTTTTGGCGGGACCCGGCCGCTGTTTTCTTCGCTGGGGTCCAAAATCGTATTGCAGCATTTACATGAGCATGCTCAGCATGCTTTCTGCACCGTCTAAAACTGCTTCGAGATTCGTACCGTGCACTCTACCCAATATGAAACACACTCTGGCCAATGTGAAACACTACTGTTTTGGACGCCACATATCTCGATACGCTATGTAGATAGCCCAGATAACGTTTGCTCAGCACGTATGCGCTGAAAAAAAAGCAAACATGAGAAGAATATAAAAAAAGAACATTCGGACCCGATGGTTTTCGGTCTTCGCCTGCGTCTGCTCAATCGGCCGCCCCAGCTTCCCCTGCTTTTGTGTCGCCGGCTACCTCGCTCCTGCTGCGCCCGCGTCGTCCGGCCGTGTAGGTCCGTTAGTTCGCGATGCCGTCGGCCCCAACTCGGGCCGCGTCTGAGCTAACAAACAAGATTGGATGCTTTATGCAGCGTGAAGTGAATGGCGGTGTAGAAACTCAAGAATCCATGTATAATGCTAATACCTTCGCCTTCACTAGGTTCTTTTTTAGAATTACACAGTACAACGTAGACGCCCACAACGCACGCACACTCACCCCTGTGAACACACGTACGCAAACCCTACTCCTATGAGCACCTCCGAAGAACTGAGCCAGCAGATCTTGAAATTCATAAAGTCACCACTGGCGCCTCGCCGTCGACGAGGACATCGCCTACCACTGAAATCATAGCGCCGTTGAATCCTGCAATAAATCCAGGAAAATACGAGCACCCGTGCCAAGTCGAGGACTTGAACCCGGGTCCACAGGTTCCACCACAAGAAACCTTACCACGCCGCCTTGACTAGGTTCACATATATGATAATGGTAGTTTCAATAATCCAATTGTTCAATTGTGTAGAATTGACTATTAATTCATCTCTAATTTTAACTCTTTCCGTTGTCTTTGCATGGTTCTAGCGGAATTGACTACACGTGTGTTCAAGATCTTCTTTAGGTTGCTATCACATGGAAGGATATTTTTTTGACAAATTCTTCTAGCAAGATTATTTTAGTTTTTAGCGCTAACAATTCTATGGCTAATATATATATTTATGATGGAGTGGTGCCATTTGGTGGAGTTCATTTTGGTTATTTGGAGCATGTAACTATTGAAAATACTTAGTAAAATGCTAGTTTAATTCTGCTATGAAAATACTTGATAAAACTATGTTATTTGTGTATTTCACAAATAATCCTGAGCTGCGCTGTGTCTGGGCGAGAGCCACAGCTTGGGCTTTCATATTTGGAGTGGAAAAGTTGCTTTTCTTATCAGCCACTGGATGAGAAACGGAGGGCATCGGACATGGGGAGGTCAGATGTGACTTAGCTTCAGCTGTCAGACAATATGGCCTCTCGGCCCTCCAGAAGCCGATAGGATATATTTGCAATTATTCGAAAAAAATATTATTTTAAAAGCTTGGCCGCCGGTCCACAGTTCCTCTCGGCCCTCTAGCTGCCGACAGGCTATATTTCCAATTATTTATTAAAGATATTATTTTAAAAGGCTGGCCGATAGTACCCTCCGGCTGCCGATAGGCTATATTTGCAATTATTTATTAAAAATATTATTTTCAAAGGTTGGCCGATCGTACTCTATCGGCTCTCCGGAGCTCCTGTCGGCGGTCCAGCTGCCGACAGGCTACATTTGCAATTATTCATTGAAAATATTATTTTAGAAGGTTGGCCGATAGTATTCTATCGGCCATCCACAGGTCCCGTCGGTCCTCTAGATGCCGACAGGCTATATTTGCATTTAGTCATTACAAATATTATTTTAAAAGGTTGGCCGATGGGATTCTATCGTCTGTCGGCCCTCCAGCTGCCGATAGGCTTTATTTGCAATTATTCATTGGAACTATTATTTTAAAATGTTGGCCGATAAGTCCCGTCGGTCCTCCAGATGCTGACAGGCTATATTTGCATTTATTCATTAAAACTATTATTTTAAAAGGGTGGCCGATGGGATTCAATCTTCTTTGCACAGGTCCTGTCGGCCCTCCTGCTGCCGATAGGCTATATTTGCAATTATTCGTTAAAAATACTATTTTAAAAAAAATCTCAAACAAACACCGACTTCGTTCGCTCTTCACTGGTCAAACAACGGTCATCGGTAACGACGATACTATATGGTTTCAGGTCTCTCATTTGATCATGCAGACATACGTACGCACGAACACAAAAGTTGCAGCCATCAGAACTAGTAATGCTCCAACTCCATTTCGCTGTGGCCTGATACTAGCATGTACTGGGCATCAGGGCATGTGTATGTAACGACTTGAGCATGTACTAATTAATACTTGATAAGGGCCATACGAATCACATGATGACAATATGCACATAATCATCTGGGGCATAATTAGAGCATAGACTGCTCGAACCGGTAACTAGAGCATCCACACCACAACATAGGGTTGTACTCAGGAACAAAGAACAGCACTGTGATACCACGCTGCATTCTTGCTCACGCGAAGGACATCATTATTGCCTACAACTACGGCGTACGTAGAGTCAATTGTAGGGTTTCTCCTTCCTTCTGCCAGTCAGTGGCCAAGTGTCCATGTAGCCGAAGATCGAGTCCTGCTAGACCGTCTCGTCTTTGCTGCTCGTGCTGTGAGGGATATGGACGGCACGCGGTAAATTTTTTGGCGGGACCCGGCCGCTGTTGTCTTCGCTGGGGTCCAAAATCGTATTGCAGCACGTACATGAGCATGCTCAGCATGCTTTCTGCACCGTCTAAAACAGCTTTGAGATTCGTACCGTGCACTCTACCCAATATGAAACACTCTGGCCAATGTGAAACACTACTGTTTTGGACGCCACATATCTCGATACGCTATGTAGATAGCCCAGATAACGTTTGCTCAGCACGTATGCGCTGAAAAAAAAGCAAACATGAGAAGAATATAAAAAAAAGAACATTCGGACCCGATAGTTTTCGGTCTTCGCCTGCGTCTGCTCAATCGGCCGCCCAGCTTCCCCTGCTTTTGTGTCGCCGGCTACCTCGCTCCTACTGCGCCCGCGTCGTCCGGTCGTGTAGGTCCGTTAGTTCGCGATGCCGTCGGCCCCAACTCGGGCCGCGTCTGAGCTAACAAACAAGATTGGATGCTTTATGCAGCGTGAAGTGAATGGCTGTGTAGAAACTCAAGAATCCATGTATAATGCTAATACCTTCGCCTTCACTAGGTTCCTTTTTAGAATTACACAGTACAACGTAGACGCCCACAACGCAGCACACTCACCCCTGTGAACACACGTACGCAAACCCTACTCCTATGAGCACCTCCGAAGAACTGAGCCAGCGGATCTTGAAATTCATAAAGTCACCACTGGCGCCTCGCCGTGGACGAGGACGTCGTCTACCACTGAAATCATAGTGCCGTCGAATCCTGCAATAAATCCATGAAAATACGAGCACCCGTGCCAAGTCGAGGACTTGAACCCGGGTCCACAGGTTCCACCACAAGAAACCTTACCACGCCGCCTTCACTAGGTTCACATATATGATAATGGTAGTTTCAATAATCCAATTGTTCAATTGTGTAGAATTGACTATTAATTCTTCTCTAATTTTAACTCTTTCCGTTGTCTTTGCAGGGTTCTAGCGGAATTGACTATACGTGTGTTCAAGATCTTCTTTAGGTTGCTATCACATGGAAGGATATTTTTTTGACAAATTCTTCTAGCAAGATTTTTTTTTTTGCCCTAACAATTCTATGGCTAATATATATATTTATGATGGAGTGGTGCCATTTGGTGGAGTTCATTTTGGTTATTTGGAGCATGTAACTATTGAAAATACTTAGTAAAATGCTAGTTTAATTCTGCTGTGAAAATACTTGGTAAAACTCTGTTATTTGTGTATTTCACAAATAATCCCGAGCTGAGCTGTATCTGGGCAAGAACCACGGCCTGGGCTTTCCTATTTGGAGTGGAAAAGTTGCTTTTCTTATCAACCATTGGATGAGAAACGGAGGGCATCGGACATGGGTAAGTCAGCTGGGACTTAGCTGAGGCTTTTGCTGGTCATACAATCTGTCATACAATCTGTCCTGGCCGCTCACGCCGATAGCCCTGTCGGCTCTCAAACCGCCGATAGGGTATATTTGCAATTATTCATTAAATATATTATTTTAAAAAAAATCTCAAACAAACACCGACTTCGTTCGCTCTTCACTGGTCAAACAACGGTCATCGGTAACGACGATACTATATGGTTTCAGGTCTCTCATTTGATCATGCAGACATACGTACGCACGAACACAAAAGTTGCAGCCATCAGAACTAGTAATGCTCCAACTCCATTTCGCTGTGGCCTGATACTAGCATGTACTGGGCATCAGGGCATGTGTATGTAACGACTTGAGCATGTACTAATTAATACTTGATAAGGGCCATACGAATCACATGATGACAATATGCAAATAATCATCTGGGGCATAATTAGAGCACAGACTGCTCGAACCGGTAACTAGAGCATCCACACCACAACATAGGGTTGTACTCAGGAACAAAGAACAGCAATGTGATAACACACTGCATTCTTGCTCACACGCTGCATTCTTGCTCACGCGAAGGACATCAATATTGCCTACAACAACGACGTACGTAGAGTCAATTGTAGGGTTTCTCCTTCCTTCTGCCAGTCAGTGGCCAAGTGTCCATGTAGCCGAAGATCGTGTCCTGCTAGACTATCTCGTCTTGCTACTCGTGCTGTGCAGCCTCCTGTGCCTCTTGCTGCGCCCGTGCGGCTGCCGCGAGCTTGAGCTCTTTGTCCTTGCCCCACAGGAACCCGTAGAGCCCCAGGACTATCAACACTGTCCCCACCACGCTGCACAAGCACGTGATCGCGCCAAACAGATAAATATACTTATCCCTGCTGTGCATGCTACTCTCAAAGGCACGAAAAATCTAGAACACTCACGTTCCCAGGTAGATGTTGGTGCCGAGCAGCACCGAGTCGAGGACCGTCGAGACAATGAGGAAGAGCGAATTGAACATTAGGGGGATAGATGGGCCCGCGCTTGCTTATCACCCAAGATATTAGGACGAACATGACGCCCGTGTTCAACACGCCCTGGACATCATATTAGACGTACGCTAGGATTGGTGAATTTGTCAGGTTTATTTAAGCTGTTGGCATGGGGTCTCATGACTAATACTTACCGAGTAAATGATGATGAGGAGCTGAAGGTCCCACTTGAGTGCCCACTCTGCTTTGTCATCACTCAAGCAGATGCCCACCAGAAAGCATTCTATGCTTCCGACGAGGCAGGTCAGCACGGTAGTCCAGTACTTTGATGGAAAAACCGTCGCAGGCCTTGCCTGTGTGTTTCGGTACATCAGTCATTCGCAAAACACTGAACGCTGAATGGGTCAACTGAAAGACTGAATCACCCGTACCTGGATGATCAACCAAAGAGAATAACCGACGCAGCTTCCGCACAGGAACAGCGTGCCAGCAACCATGTTGTTGTGGTCAGCGCCGGTGGGGCTCGCCGGGGCATGACCATGGGAGCCTTGCAGCAGCAGCAGGCCGGTTGGCCAAATGTGCAGTATGCGGGATATGGACGGCACGCGGTAAATTTTTTGGCCGGACCCAGCCGCTGTTGTCTTCGCTGGGGTCCAAAATCGTATTGCAGCATGTACATGAGCATGCTCAGCATGCTTTCTGCACCATCTAAAACTGCTTCGAGATTCGTACCGTGCACTCTACCCAACACGAAACACACTCTGGCCAATGTGAAACACTACTGTTTTGGACAGCACATATCTCGATACGCTATGTAGATGGCCCAGATAACGTATGCTCAGCACGTATGGACTGACAAAAAAAAAGCAAACATGAGAAGAATATAAAAAAAGAACATTTGTACCCGATGGTTTTCGGTCTTCACCTCAATCGGCTGCCCCAGCTCCCCCTGCTTTTGTGTCACCGGCTACCCCGCTCCTGCTGCGCCCGCGTCGTCCGTCCGTGCAGGTCTGTTAGTTCGCGATGCCGTCGGCCCCAACTCCGGTCGCGTCTGAGCTAACAAACAAGATTGGATGCTTTATGCAGCATGAAGTGAATGGCGGTGTAGAAACTCAAGAATCCATGTATAATGCTAATACCTTCGCCTTCACTAGGTTCTTTCTTAGAATTACACAGTACAACGTAGACGCTCACAACGCACGCACACTCACCCCTATGAATACACGTACGCAAACCCTACTCCTGTAAGCACCTCCGAAGAACTAAGCCAGCAGATCTTGAAATTCATAAAGTCACCACTGGCGCCTCGTCGTCGACGAGGACGTCGCCTAGCACTAAAATCATAGCGCCGTTGAATCCTGGAATGAATCCAGGAAAATACGAGCACCTATGCCAAGTCGAGGACTTGAACCCGGGTCGACAGGTTCCACCACAAAAAAAACCTTACCAACTGATCTATGATCAGTTCGCCGCCTTCACTAGGTTCACAGATATGATAATGGTAGTTTCAATAATCCAATTGTTCAATTGTGTAGAATTGACTATTAATTCTTCTCTAATTTTAACTCTTTCCGTTGTCTTTGCAGGGTTCTAGCGGAATTGACTATACATGTGTTCAAGATCTTCTTTAGGTTGCTATCACATGGAAGGATATTTTTTTGACAAATTCTTCTAGCAAGATTTTTTTTTTTGCCCTAACAATTCTATGGCTAATATATATATTTATGATGGAGTGGTGCCATTTGGTGGAGTTCATTTTGGTTATTTGGAGCATGTAATTATTGAAAATACTTAGTAAAATGCTAGTTTAATTTTGCTGTGAAAATACTTGGTAAAACTCTGTTATTTGTGTATTTCACAAATAATCCCGAGCTGAGCTGTGACTTAGCTGAGAATTTTGCTCAATCTGTCCTGTCGGCTGACGGTTGACCGATAGTCCTGTCGGCTCTCAAACCGCCGATAGGGTATATTTGCAATTATTCATTTAATATATTATTTACAAAAAATCTCAAACAAACACCGACTTCGTTCGCTCTTCACCTGTCAAACAACGGTCACCGGTAAGGACGATACTATATGGTTTCAGGTCTCTCATTTGATCATGCAGACATCCGCACGAACACAGAAGTCGCAGTCGTCAGAACAGTAATGCTCCATCTCCATTTTGCTGTGGCCTGATACTATCATGTACTGGGCATCAGGGCATGTGTATGTAACTGACTTGAGCATGTACTAATTAATACTTGATAAGGGTCATACGAATCACATGATGACAATATGCAAATAATCATCTGGGGCATAATTAGAGCACAGACTGCTCGAACCGGTAACTAGAGCATCCACACCACAACATAGGGTTGTACTCAGGAACAAAGAACAGCAATGTGATAACACGCTGCATTCTTGCTCACACGCTGCATTCTTGCTCACGCGAAGGACATCATTATTGCCTACAACAACGACGTATGTAGAGTCAATTGTAGGGTTTCTCCTTCCTTCTGCCAGTCAGTGGCCAAATGTCCATGTAGCCGAAGATCGTGTCCTGCTAGACCATCTCGTCTTGCTACTCGTGCTGTGCAGCCTCCTGTGCCTCTTGCTGCGCCCGTGCGGCTGCCGCGAGCTTGAGCTCTTTGTCCTTGCCCCACAGGAACCCGTAGAGCCCCAGGACTATCAACACTGTCCCCACCACGCTGCACAAGCACGTGATCGCGCCAAACAGATAGATATACTTATCCCTGCTGCGCATGCTACTCTCAAAGGCACGAAAAATCTAGAACACTCACGTTCCCAGGTAGATGTTGGTGCCGAGCAGCACCGAGTCGAGGACCATCGAGACGATGAGGGAGAGCGAATTGAACATTAGGGGGATAGATGGGCCCGCGCTTGCTTATCACCCAAGATATTAGGACGAACATGACACCCGTGTTCAACACGCCCTGGACATCATATTAGACGTACGCTAGGATTGGTGAATTTGTCAGGTTTATTTAAGCTGTTGGCATGGGGTCTCATGACTAATACTTACCGAGTAAATGATGATGAGGAGCTGAAGGTCCCACTTGAGTGCCCACTCTGCTTTGTCATCACTCAAGCAGATGCCCACCAGAAAGCATTCTATGCTTCCGACGAGGCAGGTCAGCACGGTAGTCCAGTACTTTGATGGAAAAACCGTCGCAGGCCTTGCCTGTGTGTTTCGGTACATCAGTCATTCGCAAAACACTGAACGCTGAATGGGTCAACTGAAAGACTGAATCACCCGTACCTGGATGATCAACCAAAGAGAATAACCGACGCAGCTTCCGCACAGGAACAGCGTGCCAGCAACCATGTTGTTGTGGTGAGCGCCGGTGGGGCTCGCCGGGGCATGACCATGGGAGCCTTGCAGCAGCAGCAGGCCGGTTGGCCAAATGTGCAGTATGCGGCCTTTCAGCAGGCTCACCAGCAGAGTCCCGCTCATGCAGAGCAATGCACCGAAGAATTTCATCCTTCCAGACCATTTTGCCAGTGCCAGTGTCTCGGACCTTGACAAGTTGAGATCACATGAACTAAGTCATGCATATATATATTTCAAGTTGCCTAGGCCTGCATGCGCAACAGTTCAACAGTGCATGGTTTCATAAGGGGATGGAATACCTTAGCAGAATGGCGATGATGAAGGTCACAATCGGAACCAGGTTGAGAAAATTGCAGAGTAAGCAGCAATGGTTGTCCGGAGACCATAGTAGTACAGGCCCATGGCCAGGCCAACTCTGCAAGACGTGACAGAATTTCATGTTTTGAATCAGACACAAGGTAGTAAAACGGGTCACAAGAAATTACAGGCCCATGGCATAAGTAAAACAGGTCACAAGAAAATAGGAGAAAGGGACTTCTCACACTACTATGATTGTTGATTGTCAATAATTTACGCATGAAACTTAGGCACTGCATGTGAAATCATCAATCAGCTAGTTATCAGCTTATTTTGTTTTTTTTTATAAAATAGTTGTGAACTGAAAGTGGAGTGTTTTAAAGGTTTAAAATATACTACAGATGTGCGTGTCCCCGTTTAACTTTTGTCTTGCAAAAAATAAATTTGTGTGCCTTTCTTGTTTAATTCAAAGATGCAAAAGTTATCCACATGCTCTTATTTCTATCCCCACGCCAACATTCACTAAAGAAAGACGATTAACTAGTAAAATCTGATGAAAACTCACCCGAATGTAGCATTGGTACTTATCCAGGCCAACACAATCCAGTTCACCTTTTTCAACAATTCCCTGCAACATAAGATGGGGAGGAAGTTTTATGAATCAGATCTGATGATGTAATATTGTGTTAAATTAACAATCAATAATGAACTGGTGTCTGTACTGCTGGGTTTCAACTCTAGCCTACCCCAACTTGTTTGGGACTTAAAGGCTTTGTTGTTGTTGTTGTTGTTGTTGTAATGAACTGGTGTCTGCACTTGTGATTCGGACTTGAAACTGAAACTTCAGCTCCTATATACATGATGCAAGGCTTGCGAAGGCTTCACATTATGTGACATGTTGAGCCTCGCCTGTGTTTTTTTTTTTTGTAATTGAAACTTCAATCTCTTGGTTTCTTTGTGTTCATGATGCCATTGTGAATCTAAAATCTTTCTCAGCGAGCCGTAAAGAAACGTAGCAAGAGTGCTGCAGTAAAATTATGGTTGGTGAAGGTACGCTTTGTTGGCAAGCTATCATGGAAAATGAAATGAAGAGTTGAAGACTCCCTTATAAATCAAGGAAACGAGCACAAAAATAACCGATCTGTTACTGAACAGGTAACTAAGAGCCAATAAAATAACAGAATACTGCCCACGCGTTGGGGGCAACCAAGACAAAAAATTGGGTGTACATAAATATGTCCTTGTTATATTATATTGTTGTTCACCATGATATATCAGAAGCTGATGAAAACGTGAAGGAAGATATGTCCTCTTTCTTTTCTGCAAAGAGGTAGATATGTACTTTAGTACACCTAGAACACATGGAACTTATAATAATTTCAAACAAAATCCGTTATTACATTCTCTTAATTTAGAAAATGTATAAAGGCAACCAATAGTTAGTGTAAACACTGTCATATTTAAAATCATGCAAGTCAGAGTTTTTTTATGGCTTTGTCAAAATATATTCTGAAATATCACTTCAAATAAGTGTTAGGACCTGAAATGGCAAAATAGTAGAGTGATTAAGAGAACTGAAAATCCCGCCATCCATTATAACATATGATTAACTGATTTACAAAGCAGATAACAGAAAGCATTTGCCATAAATCACGTATCATATACATCATTTTGTTATGAAGCAATGGAAACATGTGATTTAATAGAAGAATATAAGGGTTTAGTGTAAAGCAACAATGTACTCTCTCCATTCCAAATTATAAGTTGCTTTGACTTTTTTTTTCATCCATTTTGCTATGTATCTAGACATATTATTATATCTAGATGCATAGCAAAATGGATGTACCAAAAAAAGTCAAAGCGACTTATAATTTGGAACGGAAGGAGTATCGTTTTATACCTTGTGAGATGAATCGTTTCTGAGAACAGAGGCCTCATGGATTTGTGGTGGCAGGTACAGTAGCTTTGTTGACATTATACAGATGTAGGTAAGCTAGGTTCATCATAGCTGCTGGACCTAGTGATATACAGCAACCTTCCAATGGTTCCAGATTTGTAAACCTATAGGGCACAAATCTGTGAAGAAAGTGCTTGAAGGGAAAGAATTCGAAAATGAAACAACTTTTTTGTCAATCGAACGGTCCAAGATGTAGACATATCACCTCTACCTTCACAAAGGTTGCAAACTGTTGATTTGCTCGTTCAGAATTCTCTGCACATGGAACATAACCTGACTCTTCTAAGCAGCCCGCAATATGTAGTGGTTGATTCAAGGGCAAATCACTCTGAGAAGGGCTCAGGAAATTGGAGGTTGAGTATGGAATCGTGCCTGAAGCCCTGAATTGTCAACCATTTAAATACAGTATGTAGAGGAGGAGCTGCATATCAACGGCCATTGTCAGCTGATCAGTGCAAAGTATTGCTGAAGCGCATTTGGCGGGCCACACGACATTAAGGCGTTGATCATTTGCAAAGTTTTCAGAGCTTGAAAACTAAATAGCACTGGCATACATAAACAATAATTAGAAAGTTTGGATGCCTCAGGCCCTCAGTCCCTTGGAAAAAACAAAGCGGTCTAAAGAAGAAATAATTGAGACTGAAAGAAATTAACAGAGTAACCTGATTGTGGCATAATATGATCCAGCTAAAGAGGCTGCACTGTGGAAAAAATATTACACATTTTGTACCGAGGTATTCAGATCAGGATTTTTTTTTTTTTGTACTGAATCATAATGAACATGGGTGATGAGGAAGGTTGACACGAATAAATCTAGTTTTCAATAATAAGGAAATATGGGATCCAAAGTATCATGTACAGGGGTGGCTGCAGTATATGCAAAGGGAATATGATGAAAATGGACACCAAAATAAGCTGCAACTGACTGAAGAAGTGCATTTAGTAAAGTATTGGAGGAACATAGAATAAACCTATACGTCTCTTCAATTTTTTGTGAGGATCTGCACATGTCCAGTGTATTGAATCAGTAGTGTATTGAATCAGTAATGAGGCTGTGTCAATGTGAGGTTTGTTAAAAATAATCAGCTTGTAAAAAGATTTAAGGATATACATCTATCAATAGAAGGACCGTATGAGAAAAGAAATGAGTAATTAAATTAGTAATCATTGTTTTTTTGCTTACTGGCAGGTATTGCAATGTAGTTACTATGAGGGAAAATGGGAGCTTCTGGTTTACGTAAACATAAGGGTAAGCATTGCATGTGTAGCGTAGTAAGTGGATTTTTTTGGGTGTATCCTAGAATTTTCTATATGATTGCGTCTTGTTTACTCTTTTACTGTGTACCATGTACCACTTTATGTCCATATGCAGTAAGGAAGAAATTGATTGGACAAAACTATCATACATGTTGGCTGATGAAAAGGCGTATGAATTTGTCATGTTGTTTGGACTGAGGGTAGGTGGCTGTTCGAAAAGAAGATTGAGCATCATATAACGACGTCTAAGTGCCTCGCACTGCGGTACCTGGGACTGTGTTGTTGGCTGTCCATGGGCCGATAATAAATAGTCCGACGCTTGCTGCCTCATCCTTTGGTAGGAAATCTGCGTAAAGCATGTTTGAAGGAATTAAGCTGTGTAGTCTGACACTGAATAACGGAGCCGCAAGATGGAATGGCACAGAGAAGAAACTAATAAAATAAAATGGAGTGCAGCAGGAGGCACGGTTTTGGCAAGCGTATACAGCGTATGATATCAATTTCGAAATTCGGCATCTTTGTATTGGAAGGAATGAGGCATGGTGCAAAAGGAGGTCACTAAAATGACGGCGAACTGTAACAGGCAACAATTGATCTGGTACTAAAAGCACTAATAACTGAACAAAAAAAGGGGAACATAGCAGCTGCCGAGGCGGAAGGGGACGGTAGTGGTGCACTTGCCTGGCGAAAGGGCCGTATACGCTGCCGTCGCCGCTGCAGGGGTCCACCGGTGCACGGTTGCGGAAGGACGAAGGAGAGGCCGCGCCGCGGAGACCGTGGCAACCGCACGCAAGCCGGCGAAGCCGGTGGCCGACGCGGGGGTCCGCGGGTGCACAGGTGCAGAAGGACGAAGGAGAGCCCGCGCCACCGCGACCGTAGGCGAGCCGGCGGCGCCGGTGGCCGACGTGGCGGGTGCGGTGCCGCAGGGCCGCGCCGCGCAGGGGCTGGTCCGCCGGTGCGCGGAGCCGCGGGCCGCCGACCAGCGGAGGGCGCAGGCACGGGGGCGGCGCGTGCGGTGCTGCAGGGGCGCGGCGTGGAGGCCGGAGCAGCGGCGGGGTTTCTGGGTGGAGTCGCCGCAACGTGGAACGGCGGCGCGTGCGGTGCTGCAGGGGCGCGGCGTGGACACCGGAGCAGGGGGGGTGAGGGTTCTGGGCGGAGTCGCCGCGTGGAACGATGGAGGATTTCTCTCTCTCTTTTGCCTGTTCGCTTAGTGTGCGGTGCTGCAGGGGCGCTTCGTGGCGGCCGGAGCAGCGGCGGGGTTTCTGGAGGATTTCTCTCGCAACGTGTTCGGCGGCGTGTGAAATTTAACTGCAGGGCTGATACGTGGACTCCTCGAGCAGGGGAGTTCTGGGCGGAGACGCCGCGGCGTGGAACGATTTCGGATTTCTTTAATAATTATTGTTCGCTGGGCCCGTTTAGTTCACCCCAGATTGGCGCCTCAGAATTTGGTTGGCAAATTATGTAATTAGTTATTTTTATTTCTATATTTAATACTCTATCGTTGTGTGTTGAAATATTTGAAACATTGAAAAAGAGTGAAAAAACTTACCAAACTAAACCAATTAGCCTTTTATACTAAAATATAATAAGAACGCTGTTCAAAAGTAGCTCAGCCGGCGCTGGGCTGTGGTTTTCTTTTTACATAGCGCCAAACCGGACGTTTTAGGAATCGGGCTTAGGCAAATTTAACTTATCGGACGGCCAGGGGAGATTGGGGTGGATGAATAGGAAACTGGGTGAGGAAACCGGTAGAACTAATAATTATCTTTCCAAACACAGCAGGAACGCAAAATATTAGGAATAATTTACAATTAAATTTAATTAGAATTTTTTTGCAAATATTTAGGAATGAAACACATATCAAAAACAAATGAAAAAAAAATGTCCTTTGCATCGTTCTAAACCGGGCCTTATACTAAAATATAATAAGAACGAGGTTTGAAACATGTTTCTTTCCGGCGCTGGGCTGTGAAACCATAGGAGGATCTACAGTATTCCTTTGGTTTCCATCGCTGCTTTCCTATGAACCAAAGATCGGACGGCCAGGGGACGCGGACTGTGGATGAATAGGAAACTGGGTGAGGAAACCGGTAGGAACTAAATCTAAGAGCGTCGCCGAGCCAAATCGTTTTTTAAATTCTAAATGTAAATTTGATTATTATTGAAGAAAAAACGTCTCTATAAGACTATGTAAATGACTCTTTAAATTTAGTAGCTCTTTATCCCACCTAATTCGCTCTCTACTCCTACTAATTCGCTCTTTACTTCTGGATATCCTATCTCACTAGCCATCTAGCCCTGGATTTACGAAGTCTATTGGAATACTCTATATTTTTTTTATTAAATATATTTTATAGAGTAGCTAAAAAAATAAATTTGACTAGTTTTTTTTACTAATCTCCTAGAGATGCTCTAACTCACCCCATTTAGAGATCTTTACAGATACGTGTGTGTGCATTCCTACGCGGTCCTCTAGCTAACTAGCTTGTTGCTTCACAGATAGTTTACTTTTTAATTCCGACGGAAAAGCAGGGAGAACGAACAAGAAAACTGGGAAGACGCCGTACCTCTCTAACAACAGTCCAAGCGACGCCATAACCACCGTTCAGCTTAACCAGAAGCTGGCTTATTCGGCTTCTTTTTTTTTCATTCGGAACAGTATTTTTCTTTTACAATAATTCAGTCAGAACAGTATTTTCAGTTAAGTTTCAGCAAGCCGAACGGGACCATTGCGGTAAACTGTCAGCACCAAGGGGGCCATACCTTCCTTGAGAGCTAGCTTGAACAGAAGCGGTGAGGGGTCCAGCAAAATATTTAGGAGGGGCTGGACTGCATAGAGAGCTACACTAGCAAAGCTTTCATGGCTTCTATGACTGAAACTTCCAGGGAAGGCTCAGGGGTTCCGTAGACATAGCAGCAGCAGCAGGGGGCTTGAGCCCCACCCGCCCCACTGATGTCTTCATATGATTGCCTGCATGACGATCATGCTGAGGGGGAGCATCGCCGCCTCCCGAGCCATTGGCCTCGCCTTCTCCCCACCCCCTCTCTCCGTGTCTTGCCCCAAGGAAGAAATAATGCGGTAGTGGATCAAGTTCTCTCGAGGAAAGGAGGAGATGAGGAGTGAAAGAGGATGAATTCCTATTTATAATATAAATAGGAAATGGTTGTTTCTTTTTCTTAGGAAAGGAAATGGATATTTCTTTTTATATGCAAATATACCATATTATATAACTCCAAGAATACAATTGGATGGAATATATAGTGCATAACAAGAATTCATGTATACTCTATTGTTTTTGTTGATTTTGCATTACTGTAATCTTTTATGTAAAATTTGGAGTCCGTGCTCAGCCGCGCCAAAGGATTGACTAAGCTAACAACTCGTTGCCCTCTTTGAAGGAGGACTGCAGCAGAAGGCCCCCGAGCGAGGCAGGGATGGGACGGACGGATGGAGGATAGGGCGAGAGGTCGGCAAAGCGTTAACGGAACGGCCCCGACTGCCGCGTTACCAGCTATATCATCTTTCATTTCTCTTGTATCCATTTTGTTCATTTACAGCTATCTCCTTGGCTCCTGATCCTTCATCGGATCGTGTCTCCTAGCCACATGTCGGTATAGGGTGTATTCGTCTAGATTTGTTCCTTGGCCTTAAGGCAAAAGAAAGGAATCCGGATGATACATCTTTAGTACTCTTAATCGCTGAAAACAAAAAGAAATCAAAAGAGGTAACTGGCAGCGTCACTTGCACCGTTCGACGTCTGTCCGATCAACAGACAAAATCAGAAAGCGTGTTCAGTAGCTTGATTTAGGTTTGGATATGGGTGGTTTTGTCTGCCTGGATGGCTCATGTGGGCAATGGGCAGGCAGCCAATGCAGGCAATAATGTTGTTGTGGTGTGGTCCTGCAGGTCAACATAAACACTCTTCTTTTGGCTTTGCGTGCGAGCCAGAGAGACCGGATATTTTTACCGTAACATAATGAACTTGTTTAGGCAAAATTTAAAGATGTAATTGATATGGTAATTATATATTAGGCAGTTCAAAAAAAGATATGGTAGTTACAGAACAAATAGGCAAAATTGTAATTGGTTTCATCAAATGTCCCACATCTATCTTATCTCCTACAACTAAAAAGAACAAAGTGTGGATATCGTTTTGGTGCGGCAATTGCCTTGGTTCGTCCGTCTGCCACCTCATGCGATCGATCCCACCTCCCACGCTATCCAACGGGCGAGCAAGAAAAGGAAAGCCCGCGATTTGTCTCCTTGATTGAATATTGCATGTTTGTAAAATAGGAAGTAGAAAATTATTGTGCTATCCATATACACATTGCATGTTTGCATGCACCAGCATACATGGCAACGAGCAAAAGGAAAGAGAATTAACGCAGAAGGAAAAAAAATTAAGACAAAAGGAAAGAGAGCGACAGCTATCAATCCTCTGCTATAAATCTTGTGGCCTCGCCATAGCGCCCACCCTCATCAGCTTAGCTCGCCCTCGCTTGCATCGGCCTTCGTCCTCGTGCCCTCCCTCGCCCATGCTCTGACTTGTACATTTTAATTAATTGGATATTATCTTTCCACGATTTATTAACGAATATTTAAACAAGATGCTCATAGATTAGTCAAACAAGCTTGACAATTTGCTTCTCAATCTTGTACTTCTACCTGTAAAAAATAGTTATTCTGGTGTTTCTATAATGTATTAGAGCAGTCACAATGCTATAACTATTAATTTCCAAAGACGCTACATATATAAACTATGGTCCTAATGGATAGTTTCTATAGAATAATTTTTTATCCAACCACATACATTCTGTCTCCATTCTTTACCAATCACATCCCTTCATGCCTTGGTTCTCGTAGACATGTCCCAAGAATCTGATATGTGTCATGATTTCAGAATTACATGCTACTCCCTGGGCTGGATGATGAGCAGATAGTTTCTTTGTGCCCAAACTACTTGCACGGAGCAGTGAGGTCCTAAGATCATGCAACGGGGAGGTTGTATAGTTTGGAGAGGATGGTTTAGAAGCAAAGCTTGTTGAAATCGAGCATGGAATGATGCTTACATGGTGTTGAAAACTTTAGACATTTAGAGATTGGCTGGAACTGGATGGTGCTTGGGAGGTAGTAAAATTGACAGCCATCGCGCCTCAATGAAGAGTTGACGATTGATTTTATGAAGCAAATTTAAAAACCTTTGTGTTATAAGGGGCAAAACTTGAATTTGTGGTTTCTGAGCAGATAATTTCTCCTTGTGAAAGTGTTTCTAACTAATTCAGAGTGGACCAATGAAACTATGGAAAATTACTTTCTCAATTCCAACTTATATGACGCTTTGGTTTTTCTAGATACATAACTTTTTATATGCTTAGATATACATAATTAAAACAATATATATAGAAAAACCAAAATATCTTATAATTTCGAACTAAGAGAGAAAATTTCAATTATTATTTTATAGTGAATTAGCTTGTACCCAGACACAATGCATGAAAATGATATATTTTGAAGTTTACCTTGGACATCATCATCTTAAAAAAACTAGGAAGAATCAAATGTACAATTATGATAACCTCTAATTTACTTTTATCCGTCGCTTGCAATAATAATACATATGATTTAACTATTTCTATATATTGCTGATGTTGAATCTTACCATAGACACTCAAGTGGATACCTTATTCTACAATATATGTCTGCGTGAAATAGCCATAAAGCCACATATATTTATACGGTGAGTATAACATACTTAAGGTATTATAAGAGATTTTTCAAGACACGCAGTATTACTCATATGACAGGAATTAATATTTATATATATACTTGAACTTGTGTACAGGATGGTATGAAGATGCGACGTAACTTATTCATGGAATTATTAACGTACGAAAGAAATAGATATCGGAGATTTCTTTCTGCCGATATAAAATATTATCTTAGTCGCATCACGGAAAAATCTATACAGTAGAGTTTGTGAGCTTGCGCCGCCGCGCTCTATGACTGTGTTAATTTTACGAACTTTGCCTTTTAGATTAAATATCACTTTAATATCGATATTTAATTTTATAGTATTGTTATCTTATCGTGCGATCCATGTATTTTTAGTATAAAAGTTTAGCTGTCTCGTAGCAACGAGCACGCTACCTTAATGCATATTTGTTAGTTTGGAAGGTTAACTTTCTTTGACATATTATCATTTGCGGGGCC